TAATAAGAATGGAACAGCCATTTTTTCTTTTTCCATTAAACTTTGAAGATCAGTAACTGTATCTCCATCAAGTAGAATAGTGGATGAAGATAATACAATTCCTGCCATACCAAGAATTGCTGGATGATGAATATCTCTATAGACACTTTGAATAAATTCATAATCTTGTTTTTCAAATTCATCTTTTACATTATATTTGAATGCAACAACACTTTCATTTTTTACCATAGATAATACTCCATTGATCATTCCAACTCTAAATTGTTCATCATCTGATGATTTTACCAAATCTTTTTCATTATAAGCTGGAACAACACCTTCTAATTGGAAACGAAGTGCTCGTTGAATACTTTCACCTCCCATTAATGATTTTTTCTTTAAAGAAAATTGAACTTGACCAGTTAATCCCATTGTAGCATAATGACGAAATACTAATGTAATTTTTATTTGAATTCGTTCTCCTTTTTTAATAGTAAACTTACTTTCATCAACACTTAATTCATATTTTGGTGATTCACCAGTTGTCACTGTTAATTTATAAGTATTATCTGTGTTATTATAAAAACCAATAGTTTCACTTAATGGAATTCCTTGAATAGCATAATTACTTCCAAATGTAAGCTTTTCAATTTTCTAATAACAGTAAGTCTGAATTATTGTTATATTTAATTTAAAAATAGAAATTGTTATTAAAAAATAAATAAAAAAAAAGAAACAAACAGGTTCAAGAGTTAAAGGAAATTCTTCATCAAAGATAGTAGAGATAGAATTAGACAGTGGTTGTCCACGTGATGACATAGTTTTTCTAATAACTAGATTTTTTTATTTTTAGATGTAACTAATAAAAGTATCTTTTCTTAAACTATAATTTGTCAATTTGGAAGTGGAAGAACTAGATTTCTAAAAATACCTATTTTAATATAAAATAAAAGAAAATCTTTAGGCATTTTAATGAATAATGTGACCATATATATAAACTATTTTATAAATTACTAAAATATTTTTTATTAAATTAAGTAGAATAATTCCAACTTTTTTATGTAAAAAAAAGAAATTATAGTTTGCCGTTAGTTTAAGTGAACGGATAACAAAGAGTATCTTATCATAGAAAGAATAAGAAAAACAAAAGACTTATTCAACAACTTTAATACGAAACGGATATAAACATTTTATATACTTGATACTCAATGATATAATTTTTATTAGAGAATGAAAGAAAAGGAAAAGAATGAAAGTAAAATAAGTATTAAAATTATTATAATTTTAAGGGTTTGAAAGAAAACTTAAAAAAATTAAAAATGACTGATTTTTCAATAAACAACTTCCCTATTTCTATACAAGTAGATAACATCATCAGCAATGAACTTCCATATGCCAAAGTAATTCAAAGTGGTGTTCAATTTGAATCATGTGAATTTTATGAAGCATATGATTTTTCTGAAAAGTCACAATTTAAAACACAAGATAAAGAAAAGGATGGATTTGTTGAAGTTAGTTCTGGTCGTGGTCATAATAAATAATAATATTATTAACTAAATTCACTTTGTTCTTTAGTGATTTTTATTAATCATTTTAATTTTCTTTTATATTAAAGAAAAATTTATATTTTTATTAATATAAATTAAAAAATAAAAATAAAATAATAATAGAAAATACTTATTTATTTTTAATTAGTATTTTTTATTTCTTTTGTTTCTGTTTGATTGTGTGATGTAATTTCTTCTTTTATTTCTTCATCTTTTCTTTCATTGTTTGATGAAATGAAGTCATTTTCATTAAGAATTCCTTCAACAGTTTTAAATGTTATATTCCATTCTTCAGTTCCTTTAATTATTTTTTCTTCACAAACGAGTACAAAGATCATATTTTTTATAAGTTCTTTTATTTCTTCATTAATACTATTATTTTCTTTCATTTTTTGAATAATTTGCATTACAATAGTCCAACTTTCTTTATTTTTTTCTAAAATAATAATATGACTTCCTAAGAAAATTTTAGTAACCATTTCAATACAACGTAATGAGATCTCATTTCTTTTTTTTGAACAAGTTGAGTTAATAAATTGTGACATTGATTTAAAGAAATAAAGAATAACATCTCCTGTAGTTGCTGAGAAGAATTCAGGAGTTACACTTTGTAAAGTTGTTAATGCATTTTGTCTAATTTCAGCCATTGGATGACAACAAGCAACAAAGAAGAAAAGAGAGATAGATTGGAAATTATTTATTATAGTTTGTTTATGTTCGTTATTTAATTTTAAGAACATAACTAATTTAGAATAAAATAGTGTAAGAATTTCAATGTATTGTTTAAAGAATGAACTAGAAGCAATTGTCTTATAAATATTACATAAAATTATTTTCATTTGATTACAATGAGAAGAATTGAATAATGGATTATTAATTATATCTTTTATTAAACAAATATTTTCTGTACATAATTGTTTGATTAAAACAGTAGTTTGAGAAGTATGAATTATAAACATATTTAATATATCATTCATACTTTTTGGTTCTTGAATCATTGTTTGAGTAATTTTTATAATATTTTTTATTATTAAATTTTCATTCTTTTTAATAAATTCTTCAGGAAGAACACATAATAATTTAATTGTTTCTTCAACAACAGAAGAATTAGTGGTTTCATGAACTTCAATTAATGAAAGTGGTAATAATGGTAAATAATCTACTAATGGATTATCTGATTTTTTATCTATTTGTTTAATAATATTTTCAACAATATCATTCCAAATTAAATAATTTCTATTCCAATTAAAACTAATAATAAGATGAAGCAATATTAATGAACTAACTGAACTATGATTGTTTCCTTCTTCACTATTACTAATAATTGAATAAAATCCATTTATAAATTGTTTTAATTCATTGTCATTCATTTTTTTAGTAATTTCAGTAATAATATGTTTACTATATGATTTTGTCTTAAATAAATTTTTTGTTTTTTGAATAGATTCTTCTGTTTGACTTTCACCTCCAAGCCAAGAACTAAACCAAGAGGATTGCTGCTTTTGAGTTTGTTGTGGTGTAAATAATTTTAATAACTCTGATGGTTTAGATTCTTCAATAGTAGGGAATAAGTCTAAATGTTTTAGTGATGACATAAATTCACAAATTAATGGAATAGATTTATTAAATATTGAATAAAATTTATCAAATAATTCAAGTAATAACAGTGATGCTCTGATTGGTTTAATATCATAACAAAATGTATTTAAATCAGGATTTTGGCAAATAGTAGAAACTTTAATTAAATTATTTGCTAAAAAGTCTGCCATAACCGTATTATTTAATGTTTGTGCTAATGATGCAAATTCAATAAATCCTTGACATGCCTGATCTAATGCATTTGTAGTGCTAGCTAATTCAAATTGAGCTTGAAGATTTTGAACAAGAGGTTTAATAATTTTATTTACTACTTCATCAACACTTTTTGATGTATACTCTGTATCAGAAATATATTCTTGCATTATACTTTTTCTATATATGAAATCATCTTTTAATCTTGAAATATCTATTGATGGTTCTTCATTTGGAATATGAAATTCATTCTGGTCAATATAATCATAGATTTTATTAAATATATCTTCATTTACTTTTGGTATCATTTCTTTCATTGCTTGAACAAATTCTTTTTTAGTTCTTTTATTTTTCATTACAGGATGATGTAATTCAACATTTAATAATAACATAGCACTAATCATGAACAGTACATCATCACTACTGTAAAGTTCTAGATGAGCTTCTGCAAAATATTTTGCATAATCTTCAAAGATATGATTAATTGAATTAGTTTCTTTAGGTAATTTTAATGACTGTACAAATTTGACAAAACCTGTTAATATATTTTCGTCTTGAATAAACTCGTACAAATATTCTTTTAAGGTAGCAATTTGTATTTCTTTTCTTTTTTCAAAGAAATCTCCAATAAATTGTTTATCTAATCCTTTGGTGTATCTAAAAAATTCAGCAATTTGTTTTGGAGTTAATTCTTGTTGATCAGGGAAATATGTTTTTTTATATAATTCTAACCCACTTTGAATATTTCTATTAAAACTTAATGCAACTTTTTCATCTTTCTCTTTTTTTAATTTAAGGTCTAGTTCTTTTCCGCTTCCAGTTCCTGGATTAATATACTTTAACATATTTACTAATACTTTTCTTATTTGAGGCACAACAACTGGATATGCTAATTGTATCTTTACTAAATTCTCAACAATAAACTGAGACAAATTACTAGCATGAGGGTCACAGTCATAGTTAATATAAACTGACATAATAAAATTGGGTTGATTTAATAAAGAGTCTAAATGATGATATAAAATACTTCTTATATCCATTGGTTCAATAGACTTATCATATCCACTATAATATTTAAATTGAGTTTCTCCATTAATCGATAGTATCATTGTAATAACCATATAAACATATTGTTCAAGATAAACTTTACTTTCTTTTTGATAGTTTTTAATGATATAACAAATAATATAATGAGAATATTCAGAAATGATATATTCTTTTTCTGTTTTATAATTAATTATCATTTCAAATAATATAGGCATAAGATCATTAATTGAATCTTCATCAAGGTGTTGTGTATTTTCTAAAATAAATCGAAGTAGTGTAACTTTCATTTTATGAGTACTAAGAACTTGACAAATAAATTTCCATATTTTCTTATTTGTTATTAATTTAGTATGAAGGTGATTAAATAAATGTTCATTTAATGAAGCATGCATTAATCTTAATACCTCAGAATACCCATCAAGAACTTTTGAATAAAGTTCTATCAAAATGTCAGTATCTAAATAATCTCCAAGAACAATTAATGTCATAATTTTTTCATATGAAAGAATTTGAATAAAATCAACGTCATTAGTTGTTGTTGAAATTATTTGTTTATACAATTGAATAAAATCAAATGAAGTAGGTAATAATGGTATACACCTTCTCATAAGATTTAGTGTAGAAGTTATTAATCTTCCACTTGATGTTGTGTCAGATAAAATAAATGAAAATGTAGATAATGAACTAACATCTGGTAAACTTGTTATTCCTTGAATAATACATTCTTTTTGTTGGATACAATATAGTTCATTAAATCCAACTTCAAGAACACTACAACCTGCAGGACTTATCATTCTAAAGATTTTTTGTTTTCATTATTTTTTAGATTTTTCTTTTTCATAGTTCAAGGCATTCTCATATTTTTTTTATTAATTCGCTTTCTTTTTAATTGAAAAAGTCTTTTTAAGAAAAAAATGCCAAAAAATAAATCTTAAAAAATTGATGATGTTTTTTATTATCAAAAAAGAAAATATAAGATAAACTAAAAATAATATTTCAAAGTTAAAAATAAAATTCTCATATAAAAATCAATTTTCATCTTTTTTCTCTTTCTTTTCAGAATCTGAATCTTCGTGTAATTCATTTTTTGGTAATTCAATCTTAAGATTTTGACATAATGCTTTTTTATCTACTTTAGAAACAAACAGTGAGAGTCCTTTACTTTTCCATCCACTGAAATATTGTTTGTTGATTGGACTGGTTGTATCTTTGATTTGGAATATTACACAGCCAACTTCCATATTTTTAGCTCGTTCCATTACTTCATCACTTAATTGAACTGGACTTTCAGAGACTAACATTTTAACAAATTCTTCATGTCTTATCTCTAACTTTCTTCGTTCTCCAAAAAGATGTGCAACAGCAGACAATCCTTCATTAGATAATCTAAAATTACTGTTCTGACCAACAGAATGTTTTCTAAACAATTTTAACCCACCACCAACAATTTTTAATTCATTAATTCTAACCAAGTCCATTCCCTTTTTAATCAAATAGTGTAAAGTTCCTTTACCATCCCCTTTAAGACCAAGACATTCAAAATCAAAAGTACTTCCTTCTAACCCGTAAAAAGTTTTTATAGTTTGTGTAATAGTTTCATAACCTTCAGTCATATTAAGTGGCATTAGTCTAGAGTCGCCTTTACGTGTTTTAATAGGCTTTGGTACTTTTTTTCGTTTTTGTTTTTCTTCTTTAAAATCACAATCTAAATCTCCTACTTTTTCCAAAACAGCAACAAAAAACCCACCTGTGTTTTGGAGTTGTGGTAAGAATCTCATACACCTATCTAATCTAAATCTTTTTGCTTCTTCTTCTGTAGGAGGGAATAATGTAGATGGTATTTTTGAACTACCATCTTCTTTAGAGTCTGGTTTAATTGTTAATTCTTCTCCTTCTTTATTAAATACTTTCCATGAAGAAACACCTTTACATCGTTTGAGTGTTGGCAATTCAGTAGACACATCAACAAGTCGAATTTGTGGATAATTTCTTAAAATAAATGCTACAACCGCCTCGTCTTCATATGGATTTAATGAACAAGTAGAATATACAAATCGTCCACAACTCTTAACTAATCTAACTGCCCTCCTCATGATAGTGCATTGTGTTTTATGTAAATTGATTCCTCTCATAATATTCCATTTACCCCAAGCATCTGGATTCTTTCTTAAGGTACCATCTCCACTACATGGAACATCACATAAAACACGGTCAAATTTCATAAATTGATCTCCAATTTTGATAGGATAATTTTGTGCTAGATGATTGGTAATAATAATATTTGGTGATTGAAGTCGTTTTGTTTGGTGATCAAGTAATTCACATCGTTTATAATCACTGTCATTTGCAATTACAATTCCTGTAGCTTCTTCTGGACCAGAATGAATCATTTCAAGAATTTGTGTTGTTTTAGAACCTGGAGCAGCACAAAGATCGAGGACATCATGGTATGGTTTAACATTTAAAAAAAGGGGTGGAATCATACTAACAGCCTCTTGTCTAGAAATCACTCCTGCTTCAGTTTGAACAATAATAAATCTGCGTAGTTCTTCAAGACTTTTATTTTTTTGAATTTCTCCACGAGATGCATTTAGTTGATATGCAATTCCTCCAGGGTACCAACTTAATTCAACAGGTCGTTCTTGTTTATTGTCGATATTATTTATTAATCGTTTTAATTCTTCTTTAATTATTGGAGTTTGTTCATTTCGTGTTAATCGAAAAGTAGTTGGTAAAGTTTTGTGCATTGTTTCTATGTATTCCTTAAACTCTTCATTATTCATTATGCTTGTTTGTTGTGAATAAAATTTTTCCATTTCTGGATTTTCTGTAATATAATGGTAATCTTTCTTTGATGGTTTTCTTCCGTCATCTTTCTTTACTTCTTCTTGTTGAATTTCTTCTTTCTTCTCTCCTTCCATCACTCAATAAGTAAATAAAAGGGTTTCATTTCTTTTTTTCAGATTTTTTCTTTTCTGATTCATTCTTGAATTATGCTCTCATTATTTTTTTCTAATCTAATAATTATAGAGAAAAACACAAAATAATTGAATAACATAAATTATTGTTATATAAAATTCCTTAAAATTATAAAAACAAATATTTAATCATTATTTTATTAATTCAAAAATAAAGGAAAAATGGATTTCCTCAATAATTAAACATCTCAAAAATAACACGAAACAGTAACTTGAAAAGTAGATTATACTGATATGAAAAGAAGTCAGGCACCATCTGTAAGATTAGCAAAAAGAGGTGTGAAAGAAGAAGACATTAAACTTGCATTTAAGTTTGGTTGTCATGCTGTTGACCAGCTATTAAACAAAGGAACTTTTGAACAAAAAACTGAAATAGAGGAACAAGGAAAAACAAAACAACTCAATATGGATGAAGAAAATAATGACTGTGCCAAGAACGAGGTTGTCAAAGAAAATGGACCAAAGTTATATTATTGGTGCATATTTAAACCAAAAAACAAAGACCCTAAACCAGGGATATTAGAAGTTGGTTTTGATAAATTATTATTGTTTGACATGGAAGCAAAACAAACTGGTTCAGTTGATATCACTAGAGGAGAGGTATATGAAATAGAGTCAGCAGATAAAGAAAATAAAGAAAATCATATCAAAGTTGAAACTCAAACAATAAAAATAAAGAATAAAGAAATAATAATAGATACAGGAAAATGTTTTATTATGTCTCAGAAAGAGGTTAAAGTCTTAATAAGTTTTCCAGCAGAAAAGTATGTAAATGGATCTATCTTTCTTCAAAAACCACCAACTGAGGAAGAGTGTGAGAAAATTGTTCAAAAAAAAGAAGAAAAAAAGAAAATGGTATGTATTGGTAGAGTGTTATTATCTAGGAAAGCAAAAGATTTTATTGTTCCATATAAAAATGCTGTTATACAGAGAAAAAGAAATGAACCATTATTTAATCCTAATGATCCAGATGCTGTTGTATTATATCAACCAACAGTTACAAGTAGAAAAGAGGTGGCTGTAGTTGTTGACCCATTACTAGGGCTAAAACTAAGACCACATCAAAAGGCTGGAGTAAAATTCATGTATGATTGTGTTATGGGATTAAAACAAGGGTTTAGAGGAAATGGATGCATTTTGGCTGATGGTATGGGATTAGGAAAAACAATTCAAGCAGTTACATTAATTTGGACATTATTAAGACAAGGACCTAATGGAGAACCTACATGTAAAAAGGTGATGGTTGTTGCACCATCAAGTTTAGTAGGAAATTGGGAAAATGAATTTAAAAAATGGTTAGGTGATGCTGCACCAAGGGTTGTTGGAGTTTCGTGCTCTGGAGCTAAGACAGATCAAGCAATTAGTGATATGGATTTTGGATATGCTGAGATTATGGTTATATCTTATGACCAATTAAGAATCCATATTGATAAAATAGAGAAAATTAAAGGTTGGGGATTACTTATTTGTGATGAAGGACATAGACTAAAAAATGCTGATATTAAAAGTAGTCAAGCAGTGAATAGAGTCCCTACTAAAAGAAGAGTTATTTTATCAGGAACACCAATTCAAAATGAATTAGGAGAATTTTATGCAATGGTCTCATTTGTAAATCCTGATGTATTAGGAAGTTTAAGCGCATTTAAGAGAATTTATGAAGAACCTATTATGAAAAGTCGACAATTTGATTGCACACCTGAAGAAAAGTATGCAGGGAATCAACGATCGAAAGAATTAACAAGACTAACAAAATTGTTTATTCTCAGAAGAACATCTAAAGTAAATCAAAAATATTTACCACCAAAAGTACAGCACGTAGTTTTTTGTTCATTAACTCCATTACAAAAGAAGATTTACACTGCTTTATGTACCTTAAAAAATAAACCAAAAGGAAAAGATGAAAAGAAAAGTTGTCAATTCCAAATATTAACAGCATTAAAAAAAGTATCAAATCACCCTTGGCTTATCCAAGACTTTGTTAAAACTTTTCCAGAAGTATTAGATGGAATACTTCCTAAAGGGGAGGCATTATGGGATATGGAATTATCAGGGAAAACAGCCTTTTTAGCTAAGTTATTAGCATTTTTAAGAAAACATAAAGAAAAGATAGTCATTGTTTCAAATTATACAGAAACATTAAATTTCATTGCACATCATTGTAAGAAATGTGGATATCCTTATATTCAATTAGATGGAAGTGTTGCTGCAACTAAAAGAACACAGATGGTTAACAGATTTAATAATCCAGAATTAGATGAATTTATTTTTCTATTGTCCAGTAAGGCAGGAGGGTGTGGACTAAATCTTGTTGGTGGAGCAAACTTAGTGATGTTTGATCCGGATTGGAATCCTGCTAATGACGAACAGGCGATGGGAAGAGTTTGGAGAGATGGTCAAAAGAAAAAGTGTCATATTTATCGTACTTTATCAGCAGGGACAGTTGAAGAAAAAATGTACCAACGACAAATTAAGAAACTAGAGTTAGCAGGTAAAGTTGTTGAAGGAGGTGATGACAATGATGAAAGTACCTTTGATGATAAACAATTGAAAGAGTTATGTATCTACAAAGATACTGCATGTGAGACACATGACTTACTGGGATGTACTTGTGGTGCTGGGTCAAGACAAAGTATCAACTGGGCTAAAAATGATGGTAAACTTGAAGTTCTTAGAAAAGAGTGGAAACATTTTAATGGAAAAAAACCATTGGAAGATGATGTACTCAGAGAATTAGATTCTAAAACAATAAGTTTTTTATTCAGCAAAGAGGACGAACAACTAAAAGACGATGGCAATGAAGAGATTGTCGAAGAAAAAATGCCAGGAGAAGAAGAAGAAGAGGCTGAAGAAGATTGCAAAATGAAAGAAGAAAGTGAAGAAGAATTGTAAAAATAAGTAAGTGTTAAATAACAAAAAATAAATAATTTATTTGTTTTTAAAAAAATAAATAATAAAACTTCAAGAGAAGGAGTAAAAAAAAATAATAAAAAATAAGAAAAGAAAATGAAAGAGAAACTAGAAAAAGAAAAGAAAGAGAAAAGATGAGTCAAATGTTCTTTGAGAATTTAATACAAAAATATCCTGATTATACAGAACAGTGTAAGACGCTTCAAGAAGAAAAAGAAAAGAAATTATATTTCCAATTAACAGAAGAAAGTGAAAAATTTGTTAATGATAGATTTTTACAAACTATTGGAGTTATTAGTGATTTTTATGAATTATTTATTCGTGATATACAAAAGAAAATAAACCCAATTAAATTAACTCAAATTGTTATTGCTGTTTGTAAAGGATTTAAAGAATATTCTAAAGCTATTGAATTAGTTAATAGTATTATGGATGATGTTAAAAGTGATCTTGGAGCACGGTGTTTATGTTATTCAATAATTGGATATTACAAATTGTTATTAAATGATAATAATGGAGCACGTGATGAAATTGATAAATTAACGAGACTTTTAGAACATGAAGAAGGATTAGAGGCTATTGTATATAGTCAATATCATTATTTATGTACATGTTATTATGAAAGTAAAAATGATGCAAATGAATATTTTATTAGTGGAGTAAAATATTTAAAGTTTGTTGATCAAAGTATAATGGAATTAGATGATAAAATAAAATTGTAACAAACTTGGTTATTGCAGCATTA